CAGCATTGCACTTCTGGAAACCTTCATTGTGCATGAAGCTCTCAAACTTCCTATACCACTGTCTTGGAGCTTGTTTCAGGCCGTAGAAGCTCTTCTTCAATCTGCACACCATATCCTTCTTTCCGTCTGAAAAACCTTCAGGCTGGTGCATATAGATCTCTTCATCTAGGTCTCCGTGAAGAAATGCAGTCTTCACGTCTAATTGCTCTAGGTAGAGCTCTTCACTAGCCACAATACTTAACACAGTCCTGATAGTATTGAGTTTTACAACTGGAGCAAAGATTTCAGTATAGTCAACTCCTTCTTTCTGCTGAAATCCTTTGACAACCAGTCGGTCTTTGTATCTCCTGGAACCATCATGGTCTTCCTTCACTCGATACACCCATTTGTTGTGAAGTGCTTTCTTTCCTATGGGTAATTTGACTAGTTCCCATGTCTGATTTGAGATCAAGGACTTCATCTCGTCCTTCATGGCAAGCTCCCACTTGCTAGCATCCGGGGTTTGACAAGCCTCCCAATAATCTTCAGGTTCTCCTTCATCGGTCAACAACATGTAGTCCATGTATCTCCTGTTAGGTACATGGGGCCGAGAGGACCTTCTCAATACAGGAGTTGAAGTAGAAGGTTCTGATTGCTCACCGCCATCTTCATTGGATTCCTCTTACCGGGGATTCCTTATTATAGAAATGTCTGGAATATCTTCCACCTCTGCATAAACTGGCCCACTCGCTTCTGAGTTGCTGGCACTTGTGTTATGTCGGTCCTTGTACATCACTCTTTTATTAAAGATGACATCTCTGCTGCGGATCATCTTTTTATTTTCATCATCCCATAAGCGGTAGCCAAACTCATCTTCACCATAACCAAGAAAAATACATTTCTTTGATTTTTGATCAAGTTTGTTTCTACCTTGATCACTGATGTGCACATATGCTACACACCCGAAAACTCTAAGATGCGAGAGTTTTACTTCTTTTCCGCTCCATACCTCTTCTGGTAACTTGTGATCCAATGGTACCGATGGACTTCGGTTGATCAAGTAAGTTGTTGTGTTGACTGCTTCTGCCCAGAACTGCTTTGGTAGGCCTGACTGCACACGCAAGCTTCTGGCTCTTTCAGTCAACGTTCGATTCATACGCTCAGCTACACCATTGTGTTGAGGCGTACCAGGCACGGTTCTCTCCATTCTGATCCCGTGCTCATAGCAAAACTTCTTGAATCTGGTGGTTACATATTCACCACCATTGTCGGATCTGAGCTTCTTGATCTTCAAGCCTGTCTCATTTTCCACCATAGCTTTCCAAATCTTGAAAGCTTCAAATACTTCTGACTTGTGTTTCAGAAAGTAAACCCATACCTTTCTGGAGTGGTCATCGATAAAAGTCATGAAATATTGCTTCCCACCAACGGATGGGACAGTCGTTGGACCCCAAACATCAGAGTGGATGAGCTCAAGCTTCTTCTTCTTTGGGGTTCTTCTACTTGTCTGAAAGCTGACTCTCTTCTGCTTTCCAAGTATATAGCCTTCACACATGTCAATTTCTATTGACTGGAGGCCTGGTAATTTTCCTTTTGAGTGAATGATCTTCATCCCTTTTTCACTCATATGCCCAAGTCTTTGGTGCCATAGATTGGGACTTTCATTTGTTGCAACTGCAATCAGATGACATGCTCTCATGGTCTTGTAAAGAGTACCACTCTTTTTGCCTCGAGCAATTGTCATCGCACCCTTTTAAATCTTCCAATCATCACCATGGAAGATTGTCGTGTAGCCTTCACTGGCTAGCTGGCCCACGGAGATTAAATTTTTCGTCAGGTCGGGAATATGTCTGACATTTTTTAATTCCCAAATAGACCCGTTCAACATGATTTTTACTGCACCTTTGCCGACAACCTCACATGATTGCTCATTACCAAGGTAAACTTTACCAAGATTTCCAGGAACATAATTCTCGAATAGTTCCTTCTGTGAGGTAGCATGAAAGGATGCTCCAGAGTCTAACACCCATGACTCTTCTCTGTTCTCCAAAGAACATATCAGCGTGTCTCCTCCTGAGACTGAGGTAATATTTGCCTCTTCTTTTATCTCCTGGCCCTTCGGTGCATTCTTGCACTGGTTTCTGTAGTGCCCGGTCTTCCCACAATTCCAGCACTCGATCGACTTCGAGTTTTGGGAACCACGATGATTTCTGGACCTGGATCTTCTTCCCTTTGATTTGTTATGTATGCTTTCTTTCGTTGAACTTCTTCCTCTCGACTCTGTATGCAATACAGAAGAGGTTGATGGTTCACCCGACTCCCTCCGCCGGATCTCTTCACTGAGAACCAAATTTTGGACATCATCAAATTTCAACTTATTGCTTCCCGATGAGCTACTCACAGCTGTGACTATAGCATTCCAGCTTTCTGGTAGGGAAGACAAAAGTATTAAAGCCCGTACTTCATCATCGAACTCGATCTCAACTGAACTCAACTGGGTTGTAACTGTGTTGAGCTCATTGAGATGATTTGCCACCGGAGCATCTTCACTCATCCGCAGGTTGAACAATCGCCTTATCAAATGGACTTTATTTGAGGCTGATGGTTTCTCGTACATGTTGGAAAGAGCCTTCATGAGGCCTGCTGTCGTCTTTTCTTTCGCAATGTTAAAAGCAACATTACGGGATAACGTCAGCCGAATGGCTCCTAGGGTTTGTCTGTCAAGGAGACTCCATTCTTCCTCCTTCATGTCTTCTGGCTTCTTTCCCGTGAGTGGTTGATACATATTCTTCTGGTACAGATAATCCTCGATCTGCATCTTCCAGAAGCCAAAGTCCGCACCATCGAACTTTTCAATTTTCATTTTTCCTTCGTCTGCAGCCATCACTTCGACTCTGATTTGACTTCTCTGCCGGATCGTTTCTGTAATTTTGTGAACTACCGTGTTTCAGAACACGTCGGTAGATAAATTTGTAGCGCCGACAAATTTGGCACTATTCCTGTTTTTCACTATTTACGGAATAGTAACACACACAAAAAAAAAAATTACAGAATTAACAATCTGGCTCTGATACCAGTTGTTGGGAAAAATACGCTGAAATTTCCATGAAGTCGGAAAAAGTGAAATAAAAAAAATTGGACACACCAAATTGATAACGGAGTTCGGCCAATAATGCCTACGTCTCCAGACTACTGCAGATATTTTATTGGGAAAAAAAAATACACTTGTGTT